TTATACATATACATAAACATGGAATTCACTGTGGTATATTCATACACGCACATAGCATAATTCTGTCAAATTCATTCTGAACTTTCTTCCCTTTCCCATCCTTCTTCCCTCTGCCTTGATCTCCGTCCACTCCAGTGGCCATCCCTTTGTCTTTGTGATATCCAAACCCAACCCTACATTTTTCCCCTTACTTTGTTCTAGATTCTCCATACGAGAGAGAACATTCAATCCTTGATTTTCTAAGTGTGGTTATTTCACTTAGCATGATATTCTCTGTTTCCATCCATTTACCAGCAAATGCCATGATTTCATTTTTCTTTATGACTGAGTAAAATTCCATTGTGTACATATACCACATTTTATTTATAAATTCATTTTCTAATGGACACCTGCACTGTTTCCATAGTTTGGCTACTGTGAATTGTGCTGCTATAAATATAAAAATGGTTGTATTGCTATAGTATGCTGAATTTAGTTCATTTGAATAAATACTAACAAGTGGGATAGTTGGTTCATATGTGCTTCCATTTTTTTGAGGAATCTCCATTTTCTTTCTGGAGTGGTTATACTAATTTGCAGTCTCAACAATGTATAAGTGTACCTTTTTCCCCACATTCTCACCAGCATTTTTTATTATATAAAATCTTGATAATTACCATTCTGACTGGAGTGAGATGAGGCATAGTTTTGATTCGCATTTTCCTGATTGCTAGGGATTGCTGTCACCTGGATGGCCATTAATTCAGATACCAGATGGCATTATGAGGGGATGAATAAAAGAAACAGACACAAAAATAGAGAAAAATCTGGGGCCTGGGGGTTGGGGGAGGTGTTCTCTGTCCCCTGATAAAGGATGGACAACCCAGAGCCCACTCAGCATGTTTATATTATAGGTTTTTTAACATCAAAGGGGTTTTCAATGAGAAAGTTTCTTCAAATTATACAAGGTGAAGGACAAATTTCTGTGCAGCCCAATTATAATTATCAGCTTGTAACCATAATTCTCTACACCCAGGAAGCTGGCATCTGAACCATAAGAACTGATAGCTCTGTGACTGGCACAGAACCTCCTAGTGAACAAGGCATCACCATAGCAACTGGGCAATCTTTGATCAACACCTTGGCACTGAAAGTTCCTAAGAGAGGCATCACCTCTTTCTCTCTTTGACAGCTCAAGGACACTAATTCAGTCACCATTTGGACAAGAAATACTGTATATATTTTATAATTTCTTAATCATTTGTGTTTCTAATTTTGAGGCATGCCTGTTTAGTTCTTTTTCATGTTTATTCATTGGAGTTATTTAGGTTTTTTACCTATTTGTGCATACATACATATACACACTTATCCATACATACACGCACTATCATGTGAAATGAAAAGTAAATGAAAAAAATGAAAAAAGGAATAAAAAATAAAAATAGGTAATAAAAATAAAATTTAAATTTAAAAAAGAGGAAAAGGAGAAGGAATTGGAAGAGTACTTAATTAGGAAAAAAAAAGGGTTTATTCCACTGAGGTGGTCAAAACTGTTGGCAATGCTGGATGTTCTTTGCTTACACTATTGGACTATTGTTTCTGTTTATTTTGGGAGTCTCTGTAACCCTTGGGTCAAAGACTGGAGTTGTTCAGTCTGTCTCATGTATTTGTGTTTATCCCTAAACTGCCAACTCTTATGGCTGGAGCCAAATCTGGTTGTTAGTATCTCTCAGCTTTCTGTATAGTATGGGATAGAATGGGGAATATTCACAACCAATATATTTCCATAGTGGGGCTGGTGCAGAGTTCTAAATTGGACGTTCCAGTAGCTAGAGTTTGATCCTATCTGATCCTAGGAACTGTGTTGGGGGGATTTGAGATTTGGTTCACAACTCCCTCCTTGTTGTTAGAAAAATGCCAGTGGCTGTTGGATATTTGGGTCTCAGGAGCCTCCCCAAACGTCCACTTTTAAGTTGCAGAATCTAAATCTGGAAAGACTTCATATATTCTACTCTCCATGGTTGTGAATCACCTAGGAGGAAATCTGTAGTAAAAAGGTACCTTTCTGATAGATTTCTGACAACTTGCCAGATATGCATATGGGATGCCAGCAACAAAGGGAGATCTCTCTCTCCTCAATATTTTTTCTGCATCTATTTCAATCAAGCAGGTCTAGACATAATCTTTTTCAGACTCATTTTCCACACTTGATTTAGACTTAGCTTTTCATGTTCAAAAATTTAAAAAGAAAACATCTCATGATATTTTATTGGACCATATTTATTGATTAATCTAGCTATAACTCACATCTTTCTAAAATTAAGTTTTCCATTCAACAAATTTAGTGCATTTCTTATTTAGTTCTGCCTTGTTTTTCTTAGCAATATTTTTTGAGTACTTGATGCAGCAATTATGCACTGTTTTTAATGTTTTTTGAAGCTGGATGACATGTTTGATACTATTACATGTGATATTATTTACAAACTTCATTTTTTCTCTTTTGCAGGTAATTAGAAATTCAGTGTCAAACACTGAACTTACAATCAGCAAGTTTTCTCCATTACTTTATTAGTTGTAATAGTTTATGTGTAGAGAATATTTGTATTTCCTAGGCATAATATAATGGCACTTGTGAATAAGAAGTTTTATTTGTTCTGTTATGATTCTTGTATATTTTATTTGTCTTGTTTTATTGTTCTCTATATAGCATTTCTAGTAAAATAATCAGTAGAATCAGTGAGGGGATTTCATCCCCGTCTCTTTAGATGTCCCTAAAAGTGTCATATAGTTCACCATTAGATATGTTTGCTATGGTTATGTTTTTTTGTTTTCTTTATATTAAATTTCCTTTGTTCCTTGTAGGCTAAGATTTTTTATAATTATATGTCCACTGATGAAACTGTATATTTGGGAAGGGGATCTATTGAGATCAGATTTTTTTCATGCACTTGTTTATGTAAATAATACTGATTATTTTTTTAATATTTAGAAATACCAAAAATATAAACTATTTGACTATGATGCTGCATTATCATTTATTACTGAACTGGATTTGTTTTGACAATATTTCAATAATACTTGGGGCTAGGAGTATTGTTCAGTGGTATAGTGCTTGCCTAGTATGCATGAGGCACTGGTTATTTAGAATATCTGAATAACATGAGGCACAAGTTATTTGAAATAAACTTTTTTATAATTCTAAATTGTCAAATTTATTGATGAAAAGGATTCATATTACTTTTTATTTCATAAGTTCTGTTCTGATTTCCCATTTTAATATCTGCTTTAATGTCTTTCTCTATTTTTTCATGATTCTTAGATTGTGTTATATATTTAAAATCAACTCAAGGAATCAAATTTTGTCTGTTGACCTCTATTTTGTTTGCATTTCATTTTATTGTTTTCTTATAGTTTTCTCAAAGTTGTCCCTTTGATTACCTTATATTTAATGTGTTCTTTTTAATTTTTTGATGTGGAAAGATAAATTATTGCTTGTTTTGCCTTTTTTTTAAAGAAAAATGTGTGTGTGTGTGTGTGTGTGTGTGTGTGTTGTCTGTAGAGAATTCCATATGCTTTATTTACTTGAATGTCATTTTTAAAAGTTTCCTTAATTTCCATTTTGATTCTTCCTTGACCTGAAGATTAATCAGGATTGTAATCTTTTATCTTCAAGGATTTTGGAGTTTTTCTAAAAATCTTTTATTCATAACTTAAAATGCTCTTCATGTAAAACAAATGACTTTTGGCTCAGTTTATTGTTGACTTCAGTAAATAGTCGGTATGCAATTAAACAAAAGCAAATTTAGCCTATTTGGGTTTATGTCAAGTTCATAATTTTGTTTTGAGGGTTTTCTTTTCTTTTATTCTACCACTTTTGAGGAAGTGGGTTCAAAATCTATGACTCAGTTTATTTCAAAATATTTACGATATATATTTTGTTGTTAGTGGATAAAAACACATTTAGGATTGTGTGTCTTCCTGAAGAGTATGACTTGTATCATTAAGAAATACTCTCTCATTTCTATTAACACTTTTACCCATAAAGTCTTTCTCATCTGATATTAACATCACTATACCAACTTTCTCTTGGTTAGCATTCTCATGGTATAAAATTGTCCACACTCCATCATGTTCTGTCCTTATTTTTAAATTATATTCTTATAATCATCAAAATGCTAGGGTCTTATACTTATTTCATTGTAAACTATCTTAGTATTTTTCTTGGATTATATAATTTATGTAGGTCTTGTATTTACCGATTTTTTCCTTTCAATAACTGTATTTTTTCCCTTTTTCTTCTCTGCATGTGGTCATAAAATATCATTCATTACCATTTTTTTCCTTCAATCAGTTTCCTATACAGTTGTCTATAGGTATCCAAAGGCAATAGGTTCCAGAACCCCTGAGAATATCCAAATCTGCAAATGCTAAAGTCCCTTAATAAAGTCATATGATATATGCATATAGCCTATGCATATCCTCCTGTGAACTTAAAATCATCTATTAATTATAATACCTAGTACATGTGCATATTATATAAGTAGTTATTGTACTCAGTAATGAGTTTTTTAAAAGTCTGTATATTATTGATTTGCAGTGGGTTGAATCTACAGATATGAAAGCCAGAGATACAAAGGACCGACTATATTTACATTATTATTATTTAAAATGTACACTCCAGTGGACAATCTGTAGTCATCTGGAATCACTATCATCCTGGGCTGTGAATTCATATCCTACTGATAAGCATTTCTTTATTCTTGTTTACACTTAAGCACTTAAAATAGTTAAGAGAGATTGAGAGAGAGGGAGAGGGGGGAGGGGGAGGGAGAGAGAGAGAGAGGGGGGGGGGGAGAGATACATATCCTTAATAGTGAAAAAAATCATGAGTTCAGGGTAAGCACAATGGAATTACCAGAATCCCTGTGTCAGCTGTTAAGTACCAGTATCAGCAAACATTAGCAATTTCAGCCCCCACCTACCATGGTATGTTGACTGAAATGTTTATTTTACTTATTCAGGAGAGAAACATCAGGAGCAGTTGAGAAATCAGTAAGCCCTTTAGAAATGAAGAGAAATTCTGCTGAATAGTTTTTTAAAGTCTTCTTCCAGAGTCATCTGTGTCATTAAAAATGGTTTTTGTCTAAGTCTTTGTGATTTTACAAACTGCATGATATCTTATTCTGTTATGAATGTGTGCTGCTCTAGTCCTTCGATAAATCCATCACCCATTCTCACCATATTGTCCATAGGCACTTTTTCTGCAGTGTTAGGAATGTCATCTTTCAGTATTGCTATTATCAGAACCATCTTAATTCAGAAGCATTTGTCTTTTTCATGATCAATGAATTAACAAGTGGAGCCTTGTTATCAGTGTTAAAATTTCTTTGATATCCACTTTTCCCACATCAGTAATAGACTATGAGGTAGCTTTGCAAATATGAAGAGGTTATATTTTTTCCCTCTCTTGACATATAAAATTCTTCAAAGTCACCACCTTATTCATCATCATCACTGAACATAGTCACAGGCGAGATGTTATAACAGGTACTCAGAATTATGTTTATTAACTATGTTCCAAGCTCTGTCAACAGGTTCTGTGGCATTCTTTATGCTAAACTCATTTTGCAAATTTTCTACACCTATCTTCACTACTGCTAACATGCTGTTCAAGAAAGTGTTTTATAATTACTATTCATAGATCTAAGATCAGCCTGGTCACATGGCTCAATTAATGAAGTGGGGAAGTACACAGCACAAACATTACCTATGGTGAGAATTCAGCTGGGAGATGAGTAGAACAGTTTTAAGTAATAACAAAATCTTGAAGTTATCATCCAGCCTACCTTCCCTCCAGTAAGCATGAGCTACTGCTATAAAATGTTTGTGAAACCAATCAGAAAAGATATCCCTGGGCAGTCCATACCTTTTATTAGCATAATAATGGACTGGTAAGAAATTCAGTTTTCTTAAACAATGTGGAAACAGATTTTGCCTAATGTCCTACTTTATTAGCTCATCTCAGCACAATTATACTGTCTTAGGCATTCTCAATTCCTGTTGGGGCTACCTCATCAGTTGTAGTCAGATAATCAGTTGTAGTCAGATAATCTCTAGATTATCTCTTGGATAGATTTGAACTTCTGTTTTACAATATTTGTTATATTAATTCTCTTTATCACTGACCATAGTTTTTTGGATGGGAAGTTTTAACAATGTTACAAAGTATACATAATACAACAATAGAAGTACTACTTGAGCAGTTTTCATGTTCTCTTTGGAAAACAGGCCAAGTGACTAATAAGTTTCTATGACATTACTATTGAGATTCCAAATGACTATATTTTTATGGCTATGAAGAGCAGTGAGTGATTGAGTTCCAATGCTCAGAGATTCAAATATCTGCTTGCCAGCCTGTTTACCAAGCTCTTTCAAACCAAGTAAATATTTTAAATGGGAAGCAGTACATATGCTTTAGACAAGCCCCTTCCACCAGGTCTTTGCTTCCTAAATACAATAGAAATATAGATGTTTCTGTTAGTTGTGGAGCAGGCTGAACGAATGTTACCTGCAGGGTAACCTGGACACTTGACCCTACCTGTCTAGTTCCTTAACACTTGTTTGCCTCAACCCCCACCCATCTGGTATAATGGAAACCCACATCTAGCACCTGCACAGTCTGCGTGAAGGCAGAAGATGACACCCTTAGCAACTACTATATGATCCAATCACTGTACGCCAACAAGGCAGCTTGCAGACTCAAAGACCCCATTAGATTTTGACTATAAAAACTCTCCCCTATCCCCCCTTGCTCTGCTCTCCCCCGGCCTCCTCTTTTTCCTCCAGTGGATCAGACACTGCTGCAATAAAAGATCTATTGGTTGCTCCGAGGGTCGTGGTCACTTTCCTTTCAGTTTCTACCTTTATAAACTTCACCCCACATCTCACAGAGGATTTAAACTCAGTAAATATGACATAGGAAAATTGATTTTGAATTCGATGCCCCTAACTTTCTAATTTATCAATCTTATCTTGAATAGGCACTCAGGGAGTTTCATGAGTTGGTTAAGATTGATTCTTAATTTATATTTAAAACCAGCTAGCATTCCAGGTAAAAAGAAGTTCTAAAAATTAAGAATGATTTTTTATTCTCTGTAATTTTGAGGTATTTTACTAATTTCTTCCACATCTCTTTGATGTATTTAATGTAATTTTTTAAAAACTGTATTTGATATTATGTAGTTTTTTTTTTCCCTAAAGTCACGTGGCTTCTCAGACTTCCTGCATTTTACCTAAAATTATAAATATCTTCTTTATCTCACTTAATAACCAAAAGAATATTGAAATTGAGAGAATTGTTTTCTTCATCACACATTATTTTGAAGTAAACTAAGTAATTTTTCAAAGATGGTAAAAAGCAGTGAAAAATAAATAAATAAAAGTTGTGATACCCCCCTCATTCCTGCTTTTTCCATTATGCCAACATAGTAATAGTCAGGGTTCAGTCAGAAGAGGAGAAACCAGAACAGTGATTTTTGAGAGAAGTATTAAATACAAGGAATTGAGTAAACAACAGTTGAAAAATAGAACAAGGTAAGAGAAACACTGTGCTATTAATTATTGCAAGAGGGTGATTTCATTCATGCAGTTGAGGAGCAAATGGAAGAGGCTGGGGTTTCTTGAACCTTCCAACCTGTAGAACTGGCACAGGGATTTGTAACTCTGAACTCTAATGGTATTGCTAATCTGGAGATGGAAAATTTAGGATATTGGTAAAGAGCTGGAACAGCTAGGATCTAGAACTCTTAGGGTAGCACTTGAGACAGCCATGCTGCTATCTCTGAAGCTGACAATGAGATTGGTATGCAAAGAAGGAGAAGGAGAAGACAAAGAAAGAGGAGGAAGAGGAGGGGAGGATTGGAGTGAGTACAAGGAAGAGAGGAAACGGTGTGCATGTGGGATTAAAACCAATTATCACTGTGAATACAAAATTTGTTATTCAGGAAATACTGACATAAACAGGACAAAATGAACCAGATTTCTAGGTTACTGTTCATTCTCATATTGCAGGACCCTATCAGAAGAGGACTAGTAAAATAGAAATATGGGGCCAAGTGTAGTGGCACTTGCCTGTAATTCCAGAGGCTCAGGAGGCTGAGGCAGAAGGATCATGAGTTCAAAGCCAGCCTCGGCAAAAGCAAGGTGCTAAGCAACTCAGTGAGACCCCTGTCTCTAAATAAAATACAAAACAGGGCTGGGGATGTGGCTAAGTTGTCGAGTGCCCCTGAGTTCAATCCTTAGTACTCAAAAAAAAAAAAAAAGAAGAAGAAGAAGAAAAAGAAGAGTAAAAAATAGATATGAGTTTTGGAGTTGAGGAGCAATAACTTAAAAATAGTACTTCACCCATGTGCCAATAAAGAAGCAAAATTCAAGAACAAATCTTTAAGTTATTTAAAACAGTGAATAAAGTAGAAACATATCAGGAATTATCTTTTAATAGAAGTTAGTTTGGATGAGGCTCTTGAAATTGGTCTGGATGGGACTCTTGAACCTGGTCTGGATGGGACTCTTGGAATTGCAGATGGGGTTCTTGAAATTCTGGATGGGGCTCTTGGAATTGATTGTGGTCGCTGGGAAACCATTGAGGGAGGTTGGCTCTGTAATCCTTTCCCTACTGCCGTAGGTTGTTGATCAACTTCTTGCTCTTCTTTCTTTCTTCCCTTTAAACAAAGCCGAATACAACAAAGTATTAAAATGCACAAAATAATAAATAATATTAGGCACAGGAAACAAAATCTGGTTGTCCTCTTTCTTCTAGGAGGTGGGCCACTGTCAACACTACCTCCATGGCCTTGTATCTCGCAGTTGGGAGGGTCCCACAGATAGTTGCAATGGCAGTGATGTTTATTGTTGCAGATGCCCCTCATGTTACAGAATGAGGGTGAGCAATTACTGTCCAAGATGGATATATGGACACATTGTCTATGGATGCAGAGATGGTCATGACCACACTCTGTGCCATCTTTCACATCACCAATATCAGGAATCTTCATTCCATGATGGTAATCAGTACCCCAGCAGTTTACATCATTGTAGTGAGCCCAATGCACAGTAGTATGCTGATCCAGTGAAGGAACTTCTTTCACACCATCACACTGAATTCTCCCACACAAGACATCTGAGACATTACATTTTACATATGTAGAGCCTCTGAGACCACAGTGGCCAAAACGAGAACCTTGTGTGTTTACTCGTGTGTAGCAAATCTCAGCTGCACTTTTTGCCTCTCGGCCAAAAATCTGCCTGCATCGTGCAGTGCGGTCATTACATTCTCTTTCATAGCAGTAGGCTGAGGTATTACAGGGAATTCCATTTTCCACAAATACATCATCTGGGCACTTATGGGAAGTTCCATTGCACCACTCTGGAAGGTCACATATATTAGCCTCTTTTCTACACACTTCTCCTGATGGTAAGTACTGGCAGTTTTTACAACAAAGCCCAAAGGCACAAGTTGACCCATAACTCAGAGTGCAATTTGGCATACAGCAGGGATCTTTTGCACAATGCCGTAAAGGTCCACAGTCACATTCCTCTTGATCTTCAACAATACCATTCCCACAGCGTTTTCTGAAGAAGATATCCTTTGTATATAGATGCTCAAACAAACATTGTGCCCTTTCTAGGGTAAACCACCAAAAATAACTATAACTGCAATTGCTAAATTTGGGTGTTGGTGGGTTATCCTCATGCATTATACATTTACGTGGTAAGCACTTACATGTACTAGGGTCATCATGGGGCATCCCCAAATTATGACCTAAATGATGAGCCACAGCAATTGCAGATAGGGTCAAGGTTCTGTTTATAAAAGTAACAATTGCACAGCTACGAAGTGGATTACACATTCCCTTTGTTGAGCCAAGGCCACTTAATCCTCTTAAATGCCTGTATATAAAAAGATGTGTGGTATCATGCTTTAACCGGGGAAGAATATTTTCAGTTTTCCACTTGCAATACAGATCCAGAGATTTTCTTACATCATCTACTACAATGGGATTTTTATTAGTCCACAACTCCAAACCAAACATTAACACCTTTATATCCAGAACACTATAAATGGAATCCACTATATTTGACACAATAAACA